TGAAAAAGGCCAGATTTGCTGGACTGATAGAAACTAGAGAACCCCCTGAGACAACTGCACAGATCCCCATTGAACTTGAGACTGAAGCTACTTCTGGAGATACCTTTTATGCAAATAGGTTGGCTTATAGAATAAACAGTATCACTGGTAAGTACTATGTTCCCCAAATAATCAACTATATGAGATCAAATAGTCAACATTTGTCCTAAAGTAAAGGTGAGAAGGTAAGGAGGGGCAGGAAAGCTAGATTAATGGAAGCAGAACAAACAGAATGGAAATAATGAGAATGTTGACATATTGTGGAAAATGTAACCAATGTCACAGAACATTTGTTAAAAAAAAATTGTTTAATAAGAACCTAATTTGCTGTGTAAACTTTCACCTAAAACACAATAAAATATTATTAAAACACCAACACAAAGTCCATATGGAAATGCAAAAGACATAGACTAGCCAAAACAATCCTGCAAAAGAAAAAAGGACTTGCATTGCCCAGTCTCCAAACTTACGAGCTACAATAATCAGATCAGGGTAGTACTTGCTTAAGTAAAGACATGTGTCAATGGAATTCAGTTGGGAATCTAGAAATAAACTCTCACATTTATGATCAATTGAGTTTTGACAAAGATGCCAAGACAATTTAATGTGGGAAGAGTAGTTTTTTCAACAAATAGTGTTGGGACAATTATACTCATGTACAATAAAGATAAATTTTGACACTGATACTATATCATATGCCAAAATTAACTAAAAATAAATCATAGACATAAATATGAGCTAAAACTATACACTTTTTAAAAAAACTATAATTGTTTTAGAAAAATATATAGACATAAAGCTTCATAATCTAAGTTAGGCAAAGAATTCTTAGATATGACACCAGCAGCATAAATACACACATACACACAAAATGAAAAATTGGGTTTCATTACAGCTGAAACTTTTATGCTTCAAAAAACACCATTAAGAAAATGAAAAGACCAGCCACAGACTGGGAGAAAATATTTGCACATCATATATTTAAGAAGGAACTTGTGTCACGAATATAGATACCTCTTTTAACTCAAAAAGAAGAGGAAAAGTAACCAAATTAAACAGTGAAAAAATGATTTGAATAAACGTTTCATCAAAGAGCATATACAAATGGCTGGTAAGCACATGAAAAGATGTTCAACATCATTAGTCACTAGGTAAATGCAAATCAAAACCATAATGAGGTTTATTTCATATCCACAAAAATGGCTATATTAGTAAGATGTTGTTATGTGCCATTGAGTCAGACCCAATTCATAGCGACCCCTCCTTGGGTTTCCTAGGCAGTATCACTATGGAAGTAGATTGCCCAACCTTCCTTCTGAGGAGTGGCTGGTGGGTTTGAACCGCCAGCCTTCTGGTTAGCAGTCAGGTGCCTTAGGCACTACACTACCAGAGCTCCCAATCAGTAAGATAGACAGTAGCAAATGTTGATCAGGATGTGAAAAACTTTGAATCTTACTACATTGCTGGTAGAAATGTAAAATGTTGCAGTCACATTGGAAAAGAGTTTGGTAGTTTCTCAAAATGTTAAAGGTAAGTTTACCATTATCACCTAACAGTTCCCCTCCTAGGTGTCTGCCCAAAAGAAATTAAAATATTGTCTCCAACAAGCCTTGTATATGAATCTTTATAACAGCAGCATTCATAATAGCCAAAAGTGGAAATAACCCAAATGTCTATGAACTGGTGAATGGATTAAAAAAATGTGGTAAATCTGTAAAGTGGAATACTATTTGGCAGTGAAAAGAAACAAAGTGAATGATACATGCTATAACATTGATAATACAGAAAACATGTTTAGTGAAAGAGGACAGACACAAAAGTTCATATATTATATAATTCCATTTATATGAATTGCTGAGAAAAGTCAAAACTATAGAGACCAAAAGTAGATTAGTGGTTGCCAGGGCCTGATGGCAGGGAGGGAAGGGAATAAAAAGGGTTTCTTTTTGAAATAATGAAAAGATTCTAAAATTATATTGTGGAGATGATAAGTTTACTAACAATAATTGTACACTTAAAATGAGTAAATCTTATGGTATATAAATTGTAGCTCAATAAAATTGTTAAAAATCATAAGCCCAGAAATGTACATATAAACAAAATCTTTACTAACTAATGCACTATTCCTTCTTTCATACTGGATTATTTAGCTGATTATTAATCATGACATATATTCTTATCTTGAAGAATATAACCATAAATCAAGTATATTTCTTCCAGATGAAAGATAGTAAAGCTCAGTGAATTTCTAATGTCATAGAATCTTTTCTAGAGTTCTTGATTAATAATGTAACTTTGTGGTACATTACCAGCTTGGGACTAGTAGAATTAGAGTAAAGCTATATATATGGTACAGTAGATGTGATGTCTGCTGCTCAATTAATCGATGTTGTCACCAATGACAGTTGCAGTGCAGTGAATTACTTAATATGGCTCTTCTAGCCATAGTCTTTGTGACTCTCACAGGTGACTGAGTGGGACTATGCAAATGTAAGGTGCTTGTGGCGCACCAAAGGGATCAGATGTCTTGCTAATAATGTAAATAAGGTACACGGCACCCTTGAACGGGTGAGACTATGCAGACAGAGTATATGGAACCCTAATATAAGGATTGGTCAGTTTTGCCATCTGCTAGGCTTAAAATGGGAGCTCTGGTAGCATAGTGGCTAAGACACTTGCCTGCTAACCAGACGGCTGGCGGTTCAAACCCACCAGCCACTCCTCGGAAGGAAGGTTGGGCAATCCTACTTCCGTAGTGATACTGCCTCGGAAACCCAAGGAGGGGTCGCTATGAGTCGGGGCCGACTCCACGGCACATAACAACAACAACAACAACAAGGCTTAAAATAGCCATCCCAGAGTTGCAGAGGGGAGAATCTCCCTACCATCAAGAAAGAAGAGCCCCAGGAGTGGAGCATGTCCTTTAGACCTCAGATCCCTGTGCTGAACCTCCTTGACCCAGGAGACAGAGTTGTAACACTTTGCTGAGATGTCAAGAAGCAGGAGAAGAAAAACAGTGGCAGCAGAGGCAGCCGAACCAAAATACCAGCACGAGAGAGAGCAGTGGGCTTCCCGGCCATGGAGTGAGAAAGCTGAGTGCCCTCAGGAAAGAGGTTTGCTGGTGGAATGGAATGCCTCTTTGGGTACCTATCATCACAGCTAAAAGAGCTTTGTTAACATTTGCTCAAGCAAGGCAGAGGCCAAGGGACCACAGGGCCAAGAGGCCGAGGCTAGAAGAAGCATGCATGTAGAATGACTGAAAAGAATCTGTCTTGATTGAAGAACTGAGTTGTTTCTGATCCTGAATTGTAATCTGTTACTTCCCTAATAAACCCCGTAATTGTGAGTATTGTCTGTGAGTTCTTTGTGGCCATTGCAACAGATTTTTGAATCCAGCAGAGAAGCAGAGTGCCTCCTTCAGAGGAGGGATGGTTGATGTCAGAATTGGTAAAAAGGTTAGAGGGTGGTGGCATGTCTGACCTTCACCTCATAATAATTAGCCTTGGAGTGTTGATGTTGATCCTTATCTGCCCTTGTGAAGTTGGAGGTCAGATGCCACTGTCCTCACACCTTTTTTGCAGCAGTTAAGTTAAATTTGTTGACCTGCTAAGATCACTATGACCCTAAGGTGGTTCACAAAGGTATAACTAGGTGTGTTAGGAATCAAGAATTTAATTTCAAGTTATATTGAACTGTTTATGGAAAGAAGTTGGGCTACATTTCATACATTTCCTTATTTTATTTAATTTATAAAACAATGTTTGAGTGTTTATGTGTTGAGAGATAAGAACAGTTATACAAGACTGATTAGCCTGGGTCTCTGGGAAAACTTAAATCTAAGAGTTCCATTACTGATAGCACAAATGTGTTGAAAGTCTGCTGTATCCATGTACCTGTTATAAAAATTTACAACACGAAAATAAAAATGTTCTTGACATTTCAAGAGCACTGCTAAAATTTCAATGGCAGGATTGAAGACTATATCAGTTAAGGCCTCAGAGAGAGTAGGTAATCAGAAGAAAGGCTGTAAGGATGTAATGAAGCACAAAACCATATACAAAGAGATGTGGAATCCTAGTGGAAAAAGCATTAGACAAACCCAGTTGTTTTGTAGCTTTCCAAAGTGAAGTGGGCAGCGTTTAATGAAAAACAAAATCACAAACAGCCATGGCCTTAGAGCTGACTGCAGCAATGTGCTATAGTCACATTAGGGCCCTTCTTCAGATGGGGCAGCAACACACAGTATTATTCTGAAATACTATGGAGTCTGGGGAAGCAGGGAGAAGGTGGGTCAGGTATGGATGGGTTGTTCTTTTACTTGTGGATGTTATACTCCCTAGTATTGAGGGAATAGAACCTGTCAGGCATATGTGAACGGGGAAATTTTTATCCATGAGCTACCAGAGCATATCTGCAAATGTTCACTGAATAGGCACACGGTAGAATATTTCTGATTATGTACCTATGAGCTATGAAACCTTTTAGAGAACATAGAACACCTGAGAATAGCACTCTGTGTTAAACTGATTATTTTCTTATATTAATTGTTTGAAAGGAACAGGAAGCATTAGTTATCTCACAGTTTCCTATATACAAATTTTTAAACTAATAAAATACACATATTAATTTATGGTCTATAATTTATGCTTTATAATTTTAACTATGATTACTTCATAGGTGTTTTAAGAGCTCAATAATACACTATACTTGTTAAGGTTTAATGAGAACAACTGGCAGGTTATTCCATTTGGTTTAATAAAACCAGTTAAAGATAGGACTCTATCTGACAACTTCCCCCTCCCCCCAAATAATAAAACAAGTTAGACCAGGAAATCTATAGAATGTGAATTAAAATGGAATACTAGTTGGCAATGAAAAGGAACAAAGTATATATGAATTTGTATCATGCTTTTACCAATTATTTACTTTGGTTTGCATTTTGCTTTATATTTTTTCAATAGAGTAAAAAAGCGATAAAGAATATCCTACAAAAATGCACCTATCTACCAGCTCTTGAACCATTTCTATATGATGCTCCTCCCAATATTCTGAAGCATGTGGTTGGACAGTTCAGTAAGGTGAGAAGCATTCTCTTAGCCTATAATTTGGAGAAGAAAATGAAAGTAATTTTTTTTTCTGTTGGGTCAGTGTTTCTTTCTTTTAGATGAGGGTAGGGTTTTAACATAGATTAGTAAAATTCACAAAGAAATATAACACTTCCTTTTTCCTCACATTTTTTACCATAGCTACTACACTGTTGTTTTTTTTTTTTTTTTTTTAGTGATTCCAGGGAGTAATTAGTATGTCAACACATAGCGTCCTTATATTACAGATAATTTATATTGATAAGTGATTTTTCATTGTTGTTGCCAGTGTTTGTTAGTCTCACTTAGGAACAAAGAAAAGATCTTATGAAGAAAAGGAAAAAGGTCTCAGAGCCACTGAAATATTTTTCACTAAGACCGTGTGTTTTACTGTACATGCTTCTAGACAGTTGTTTGGAGCTCATTGACTTATTTTATGAACACTTTCAACAAAGGAAACTATCATATTTCTTAGATCATTGCAGATTAAAGGTAGTAAGATAGAAAGAGCAGGGTTCTAGAAGTAAGAATGACCGGGAGGACTGACTGACTGATGTTACCAAAGGAGGAAAGGAATGACTACATTTCAGTAGTCACTGATGGTTAAGATGTTAATACTTAGCTATCAGGGACTGGTTAAATTATGCTCAGCATATTTGATTTAAGAAAATGGGGTCTGTGAGAGTAGTATCACATAGTGGCTTGGAGCTCAAACTTGAGTTGGAGTGCCTATATTTCCCACTTACCAACTCTCCTATTTTCAGCAAAGTTTTGACCTCTCTAAGTCTTAGTTTCATCACCCATAAAATGGTACTTATCTCGTAGGGTCGAGAGCTCTGGTAGCATAGTGCCTAAACTATTTGACTGCTGACCAGAAGGGTGGCGGTTCAAACCCACCAGCCACTCCTTGGAAGGCAGGTTGGGCAATCTACTTCCATAGTGATTCTGCCTCAGAAACCCAAGGAGGGTTCTCTGTGAATCAGGTTTGACTCAACAGCACATAACAACAAAAACACTTGTAGGGTCATTGTAAAGATTAAATCTGAGATATTGTAAAGAGTTTAGCTCAATACCAGGCATAGTAAGCACTAGAGTGAAAAAAAAAAAAAATTCTTAAGAAATAAGGCATGGAAGTGAATATAGCTAATTCATAAAATTTAACTAAAAAGTGAATAGCAGTACTAATTAATTTTGGTTAGTCAGTTATTATGCTACATAAATGAGATACTATTGTTTGAATAGTATATTTCTACAAATAATGAACAAAAACTATATATTGTCATAACTTTTAAACTGAGGCCTGTAGTTAAATAGGTCTACTTTTAGGTACTTATCTCAAAAGTAGACTCTCTAATAGCCTTCAGTTCTCTGAACTCTTTCCATGATCTCCAACAACTAGACTGACCCTCAGACATCGTGGCCCCTGGAAAATAGGTTTTACATTGCTAAAGCCACCTTAGGATATACTTTTGGCTATTAAACCCATGTTCTGTCTTCCTCCTCCTAAGAAAATAATCAAAGATTTTTTTTCCCTTCTTATTTATATTGGATGTGGGAAACATAATAGCATGCTCCCTCGACAAACCAACTAACCATATAATACCAAGAAAAGACTAAATTACTGCAAGGGGAAAATTGATCCATCTCTTTACTTTTGTGTGCTTTGGCATGTTAAGTAAGAAATTGGCTGGCCAATGTATTCACTAAGAGGGAGGAGGGATAAGGGGCTGAGTGGATCATCTAACAAACTTTGATCATCAGCTCTTAAAATGGATACCTGTTGCTGTTGAGTCAATTCTGACTCATGGCAATTCCCTGTGTGTCAGAGTACAACTGTGCTCTGTGGAGCTTTCAAGGCTGTGATCTTTTGAAAACGGATCACCAGGCCTTTTTTCTGAGATGCCTCTGGATGGGTTTGGAATGCCATCCTTTCAGTTAGTGTTGTTGTTAGGTGTTGTGGAGTTGAATTCTGACTCATAGTAACCCCCATATAACAGAGTAGAACTGCCCTATAGGGTTTCCTAGGCTGTAAGCTTTATGGGAGCAGATTGCCAGGTCTTTCTCCTACAGAGTCCACTGGGTGGGTTCAAACCACCAACCTTTCAATTAACATCCAAATGCTTAGCCATTGTGCCACCCAGGGACTCTGTAAAAATGGATAATGACATTATTTTTGAAAGCTTCATTTTGTAATTTAATCTTACAGGTTAGTGAGCCAGATAGTTCTAGTTTTATTAAACTTACTATGAAAATGAACTATAACCCATATTAAGAATTAAAAATAAGTAGTCAATTAAATAAATCAATGGGCTTTGTGAAATTTAGATAGCCAGCTCAAATAAAGACAGTACCTCATATCACATACTCTTATATAAATAGGCCTTCAGGAATATTTGCTTCTGGTAGAATTTTGTGTACTCTTAACTTAAGGATACCAGAGCACTAGAAAGAGATGGGAAAGCAAGGCAGGTGGTAAAAAGATACTAGTTAAATGTGGCAGAGGACAGAGACAGGAAGTAATGAAAATTCTTCAGGTCAAATAAAATATGTAAAACTGATATATCTATAGGCAATTCCAGTTTTCAACAAATACCAATGTAATCTTTTTTTGTCCAGTTGATTTATTTTATCTTTCTGTTAGTAAGATCCTTTTGTAGTTTTAAATATTAAATTCCTACATGCATTCAGCACTCAGTTAAGTATAGACGAAATAGAATAATAATAATAATAATAGAATAAGAAATAGACGAAATAGATAAAACAAAGTTCTTCTTCAAAGAACTATATACCTAGCTGGGAAGACCAGAAAACACTTAAATTTACTAGGCTTCATGATAAATTTAATTTTTTTAGAAGGAAAGAATAAGTTAAGGCAGTCTAAGGTATTTGGAGAGGACTTTGGTGGCAGTAGTACAAGTGAAAAAAAGCTGGTCCTTGAAGGAAGAGTAAGAATGGGAGGGACAAGAATGTTTCTGTTACAGGGACTAGCAGTGGCCAAGTTGTTGTTGTTTTTGCTATGTGCCATTGACCCAACTCTTGGGTTTCTGAGGCAGTATCACTATGGAAGTAGATTGCCCCATCTTCCTTCCGAGGAGTGGCTGGTGGGTTTGAACCGCCAGCCTTCTGGTTAGCAGTCAAGTGCCTTAGCCACTGTGCTACCAGAGCTCCTGCAGTGACCAAGTAAGAGAGCAGAATTCCCACATTTCAAGGCCACACCCTCTCCATGACCTTCCTTGTTTGGTCAGTCTCTTTTGTCTTGCATAATGAATTTTTTCATTTCTACTGGCTTTTTTCTCTCACCATACAAACATGCTGAAATCTCTTTGATCTTAAGAACAACAAAAACAACAACAACAAATCCTAGCTTTCTGTCCTATCCTACTGATTTCTCTCAGTTTTCTCTTCATGAAGCATTAAAGTTTGATTTTACTTTCTTACTTCCAAGGAGCTCTGGTGGTGCATCGTTAAAGCATTTGGCTGTTAACCAAAAGGTTAGTGGTTTGAACCCACAAGTTGCTCTGCAGAAGAAAGATGAGGTAGTCTGCTTCCATAAAGATTTACAGCCTTGGAAACCTTATGGGGGTCACTGTGGGTCTGAATCAACTTGATGGCAGTGAGTTTAGTTTGGTTTGGTTTCTTACGTACAATGCTGTCCTCAACTGATGGTAATCCTACTTCCTCTACTTGCCATCTACTTGCAACTGCCTTTGCTTAATTCTTCAGTACCCTTTTAATTGCCAAACCAATGGTTTTTCTTTTTAGTTCTTATTGGTTGATTTTTAAAATCTACTCTTAGATTAATTCTTTCTTTTCTCTACCTACTCCTTAGTATATTCATTCATTTGTTAAACATTTATTGAATATTGATTAGGCACCAGGCATTAAGGATATAAATGAACAAATGTTACAGTTTTTGCCTCAGTGACATTTATGTGTGACAGACATATAAACAAATACATTATTATGTGGTAAATGCACAAGTAGGAGTTTATAGATAAAGTGCTGTGAGGTAAGCATTTAACTTATCTTGGGATAAGAGGGTTGAGGGGAGTCCTAGATAAGGTTTCTTGAAGGAGGTGACATCTGAGTTGAGTCTTAAAAAATGAGTAAGAGTTAGCCAAGTAAAAAGGGGAAGGTACATAGATTGTGGAAGGCATTCTAAGAAGAGGAAACTACATGGGCAAAGGTAGTACATGCACATTTTGATGTTACTGAAATAAAATTGAGGATAGAGATTAGTGGAAAGGAGTCTGGAGAAGCATTTAGGAGTTGGGTCACAGAAGGCTTATGACTTGTTAAAGAGCTTGCCTCTTATTTTTAGGTAGTGGAGAGGGCTTGAATGGGTGTAAGCACTTCGTTTTCTATATATCATTGCCTTTATTCTATCACTACAGCATAAAAAGTTAATACACTTGTAAAAAGTACATTTTACTTCCATCATCAGCAAATTTAGGCTCATTATGTTATAGGTATAGTGGACATAAATTCTCCTTTACATTTTCTCAGATATATTATTGCTTTTCAGTACTAAAAAGTAGTTTAAAGAAAAGCTGGCATTTTTATGTGTTTCACTGTTCAAGGTGCTGCCACATGATAGCAAAGCTCGACGACTGTTTGTAACAAGTGGTGGACTTAAAAAGGTTCAGGAGATTAGAGCAGAACCTGGATCTCTCCTTCAAGAATACATCAACAGTATTAATAATTGTTACCCAGAGGAAATAGTAAGGTAGGAAAAATTGACTTTGAGATATTCAATATTAAAACACAGTTTGTCTGTTTTCAAATCTAGATTTTATATCTACTGTGTCAAATTGTGGACTTTGAAATACTGCATGAGACCAATGTATACTTTTACTTCTCTCTTGACTTCTTTTTCTCCCCAAATTAAATAATGTTCTGATTAACACATCCATTTCCAAATCAAACTGGAGGACCTTTTCAGATACTTCTCTACTAATTTAATATATGCTTTACTAAATAATATCTATTATAGAGTTTAAACAAATAAAACATAAATTTCATTTCTTTAGTATGTAAACTGTAAATACCTGATTTAGAAAAGACCTGTAGGTTCCAAATCCATTTGCCTGGTTCCCTGCATATTACTTTTCTGCCTTAAGCTCACATTTACATTGATAGGAGTATTATAAACATGAAAGCAATGTGGAGTATTAGAAGGAAGATTACTATCTACATGCTGAAAAAATAAATAAATAATGTTGTTTGCTATATGCAGGTGCCTCAGAGAATTTCAGCAGGAAGCTCTTTACGTATGTACATACATACATATGAGTGTGTGTGTGTGTATGTATGTATATGTGTATATATATACATATATATATATTTATATATATGCATATACATATTTGCAATGAGGGAGCTCTGGTGGCATAGTGCCTAAAGCATTTGACTGCTAACCAGAAGGCTGGCAGTTCAAACCCACCGGTCACTCCTCGGAAGGAAGATGGGGTGATCTACTTCCGTAGTGATACTACCTCAGAAACCCAAGGAGGGGTTGCTATGAGTCAGGTGTGACTCGACAGCATGCAACAACAACAACAACAACATTTGTAATGAGATTGATTTGCTGAGAATTAAACCCAGACTTCAGTCCTTATAACTTGAAGGGGAACTGTGCCAGAAACCCAAAATAAGCACAGAGTTACCCGGAAAACATGGAATTATTTTAACATATTAATCTTGAAAAATGCCCACAAAATATGATGAGTAAAAGACAATATTTATATGTTTTTCTGCTAGGGGAGGCCAGGAAAGGAAGCAGGAGCTGGTAGCCGGCTGGAACAAGTTAGGGGAGGCCAGGAAAGGAAGAGAGAGCTGGCGATGGGTGGGAACAGCAAGGGAGGCCAGGAAGTGAGCAGAGCAGTTTGAAACAGCTAAGGCAGACAAACTTGTCTGTCAGTTGTCTTATTATGGTGGCTGGGGTGTTGGTGTGAGGCTGGAGGCTATACCACTGGTGTTTCAAATGCCAACAGGGTTACCCATGGTATACAGGTTTCAGTGGAGCTTCCAGACTAAGACAGACTCGGAAGAAGGAAGAGGCCATCACTTCTCAAAGAATTGGCCAGTGAAAACTTTATGTATAGCAGTGAAACACTGTCTGATGTGTTGCTGAAAAATGTTATGAATAGCCCTGAAACACTGTCCGATATAGTGCTGGAAGATGAACCCCTTAGGTCAGAAGGCGATCAGAATATGACTGGGGAAGAGCTGCCTCCTCAGAGTAGAGCCAACTGTAATGATGTAAATAGAGTAAAGCTTTCAGGACCTCCATTTGCTGATGTGGCACAACTCCAAATGAGAAGAAATAGCTACAAACATCCATTAATAATTGGAACATGGAATGTACGACGTATGAATCTAGGGAAATTGGAAGTTGTCAAAAATGAAATGGCACGCATGAAGATTGATATCCTAGGCATTAGTAAGCTAAAATGAACTGGTTTAGGCCATTCTGAATCAGACAACCATATGATCTACTATGCCAGGAATGACAAATAGAAGAGGAGTGGTGTGGCATTCATCATCACAAAGAATGTTTCAAGATCTGTCTGTCAGCTATAGGATAATACCCATACATCTACAAGGAAGGCCAGTTAATACTACTATCATTCAAATTTATGCACCAACTACCAAACCCAAAGATAAGGAAATTTAAGATTTTTACCAACTTCTGCAGTCTGAAATTTCCCAAACATGCAATCAAGATATGTTGATTATGGCTGGTGATTGGAATGCAAAAGTTGGATTATGTCCTTGGTGATAAAAATGACACTAGCGATCACACGGTAGAATTTTGTAAGACCAATGACTTATTCATTGCAAATACCTTTTTTCAACAACACAAATGGCAGCTATATACGTGGACTTCACCAAATGGAGTATACAAGAATCAGACTGACTACATCAGTGGCAAGAGGCGATGGAGAAGCTCAATATCTTTGGCCAAAACAAGGCCAGGAGCTGATTGTGGAACAGACCATCAACTGCTCATATGCAAGTTCAAGTTGAAGTTGAAGACAATGAAAACAAGTCCATGAGAGCCAAAATATGACCTTGATTTATATGCCTCCTGAATTTAGAGATTATCTAATGAATAGATTTTATGCATTGAACGCCAGTGACCCAAAACCAGAGGAATTGTGGGATGACATAAAAAAATCATCCATGAAGAAAGCCAAAGGTCATTAAAAAGACAGAAGAGGAAGAAAAGACCAAAATGGATGTCAGAAGAGACTCTGAAGCTTGCCCTTGAATAGAGAGTAGCTAAAGTAAATGGAAGAAATGACAAAAGAGCTGAGCAGAAGATTTCAAAGATCAGCTCAGGAAGACAAAATCACTTATTATAATGAACTGTGCAAAGACCTAGAGTTAGAAAACCCAAAGGGAAGCACACACGCTGTATCCTTTTACCATACTTACTCAATCTGTATGCTGAGTAAATAATCCAAGAAGCTGGACTATATGAAGAACTCAGCATCAGGATTGGAGGAAGACTCATTAACAACCTGTGATATGCAGATGACACAGCATTGCTTGCTGAGTGAAGAAGACTTGAAGCACTTACTGATGAAGATCAAAGAATACAAGCTGCAGTATTTATTACATCTCAACATTAAAACATTAGGAGCTCTGGTAGCATAGTGGCATAGTGGCTAAGGGACTTGATTGTTAACCAGAAGGCTGGTGGTTCAAACCCACCAGCCTCTCATCAGAAGGAAGGTTGGGCAATCTACTTCCATAGTGATACTGCCTCGGAAACCCAAGGAGGGTCACTATGAGTCAGGTCCGACTCAATGGCACATAACAACAACAACAACAATATTAAAAAAAAAAAAAATTCTAACAATAGGACCAAAAAGCAACATCATGATAAATGGATTGAAGTTGTCAGGGATATATTCCAGTTTACTAGGATCCACAATCAATACCCATGGAATGAGCAGTCAGGAAATCAGATGACATTGCAGTGGGCAGATCTGCTGCAAAAGACCTCTTTAAAGTGTTAAAGAGCTAAGATGTCACTTTGAAGACTAAGGCATGCTTAACCCAAGATACGGTATTTTTAATCACCTCATATGCATGTGAGAACTGGACAATGAATAAGGAATACTGAAGAACTGATGTATTTGAATTATTGTGTTGGTGAAGAATACTGAAAATACCATGGACTCCCAGAAGAATGAACAAATCTGTCTTGGAAGAAGTACAACCAGAATGCGCCTTAGAATAAGAATGGCCAGACTTCATCTCACATACTTTGGTCATGTTGTCAAAAGGGGCCAGTCCCTGGAGAAGGATATCATGCTTGGTAAAGCAGAGAGTGAAAAAGGAGAAGACTCTCAACAAGATGGATTGACACAGTGGGTACAAGAATGAGAAAGCAAAGCAGAGCAAAGTGTGAAGAAGACGCAAGAGCGGGCAGTGTTTTTTGTTCTGTTGTACATAGGGGCGCTATGAGTCAGAACTGATTTGATGGCAGTTAATAACAACATCATACATACATATATATATATATATAAAACAAATATACAAATTCAAAGAAGTTAGTCTAATGTATAAATTATGTGTGAAACTACTACGTGAAGGAAGAGGGTTTTTTAACTGGAAAAGAAAATAAAGTTAATTTTTATACATGGAATTTCTTAACATAAACCATATTATAAAACAGTGAAAGAAAGCAAACTATAAGATCTGTAAAGTAGAATGAGTTATTAGAATCAACCAGTGTAAGGCATTTTCATGAATAGAAGTTTTCGTTACTACGCTCTAGGAGTATTTTAACTGAGCAACCAGTGGAAATCAAAAAACTCTCTCAATTTAGAATTTACTCCACGTTTTTTTAAATGCCATTGTAAATTTTTAATTTATTCTGTGATTTAGGGTTTCATTAAAAAATTTGGCTAAATATTAACCATGAAGAATTTTGGTTAGCTGACAAAGTTTTTCACATTTCTGATATTTTTTTAAAGCATGATGTTCACAAAAGGTGTTTTATAGAAGTCTTTGAAACTTTGTCTTTCTGTGAAAATAGACAAATATAATCTCAAAATAGTTTTATATAGTTCTCAATATTTACTTGGGACTATTTTAGAGCTAATTATCCCTTTTAAGTCAGATTTAATGGATACATTATCTCTGCTGTTACTGTTGTTGTTGTTGTTATGTGCCGTCGAGTCGGCCCGAACTCATAGCGACCCCTCCTTGGGTTTCCGAGGCAGTATCACTGCGGAAGTAGGATTGCCCAACCTTCCTTCCGAGGAGTGGCTGGTGGGTTTGAACCGCCAGCCGTCTGGTTAGCAGGCAAGTGTCTTAGCCACTATGCTACCAGAGCTCCCCTGCTTACTAGCTTAAATATTTATTTCACATTGTCCTCCAATTTTAATAATTTTAAAAAATCTTTTAAAAAATTGTAATAAAGGTAACTGGTGTGATGAGAGGGAATAGCCCCTAAAATAGAAGTTAGAAGACCTAAGCTGAGTCTTGGGTCTGCTATTTCAAACTGTGTGTCCTTGGTAATTCATTTAGTATCTCTTGACTTCAGTTTGTTTCATATATAAAGACTCTCTGAATACAGTGTACCATTCCACAGCCATAAGATTTTTTTTTTTTTTTAATTTTTATTGTGATTAGGTGAAAGTTTCCAGAGCAAATTCATTTTCCCATAAGGTATTTTTTGAACTCCTTTGTCTTCTGGGTCTCTGCCTACACTGGGGAGAATTTGTTTTTGGGAAACATCTAATTTGGTGATGCATGCAGTAAGCTTTCCATTTAGCACATTTCTGGTATCATAACAAATAATACAATATAGTAATAACCCAAACTCCATATGGTTCTAGGATAAGGTTAATTCACTTATATTCTTAAAGGCTATAGACAGGTAAGTTGGGATAGCAATGGTTGATAAACAGAGGGATGGAACTTCTGGTTGTTTTTTTGAGGCTCATTTTGGTTCTTTCCTGAGGAATGTGGCTAAAACTAGAGCTTATGTATCAAATAAACCTAGGTTCTATGTCAGTCCCAACTACTCACCAGATGTGTGACCTTGGTACTTAAAGCCCTCTTAGCCATACTTTCTTTATCTGTAAAATGTGGGTAAAGATAATTACCTACTTCATAGATTTGTCAGAATTAAATTAGATAATGCTCATGAATTGCGTAGCCAAAGGGCTTGCCCGTAGGAACAATTCAACTCAGTAAATACCTATTATTATCCTCTTAGGCTTTCCTATTTTCTGTCTATTGAGATTAAATAACATCTTTCGGAGGATAAAATTAAGCATCATCATAATATAGGGGAAATTACATAGAAATACTTGGCCACTTCTTATTATTGTTTTGCTTTTGATGATAAATGAAAACAAATTTTTGTTTTGTTTTTGCACATATAAACAACATGAGTAAAGATTATTCTGGTTACATTTAAATTGCTTTTAGTTGCTATGTAGAAGTTTCATACTTTTTCCTCCTGAGAGGCTACTTTTGAATTCCTTAGCATTCGATAGAGTCTGCTTTTTTAATGAGTAACTTTGTGTTATTCATCTCATACTGAGATACATACATAGTGTATTTGCATTTAAGGAAGATTAGGTAGTTCTAAGTATACCCTCTGCTGATAGGGAGAAGGGGGTAAATGTTGAGCATAGTTCCTTCCCTGTGGGAAATGCTGGAGACTGTGGAGTCTGAGGTCCTTGGGGAGAGGTATGGCGAAGGTAACTAGCTTGGAAGTCAGCCAGGTAAAACCTCAAGACTTACTGGTTGGTCCTAATTGATCTGTTGGAGTCTTCTCTTTGTGCTAGAGCAAAAAATAGTATCTCTCTTTGATGGTGTTCACTTAGTTTAATGTGACAGCCACATTTGTTATTTTAAATTTTCTAGTGGCTACATTTAAAAAAGGAAACAGGTAAAATAAATTTTAATGATATATTTTATTTAACACAGTATAACCAAAATATTATTATTTCAACTTTTTAATTGATATAAGAATACTAATGAGATTTCTTGTATATTTTATACTAAAGTTTTGAAATCTGATAAATATTTTATCACTTCTAACACATCTCAATTAATTGCTAAATTCATGAGAAATTCTTGATCTGTATTTAGATTTTATGAAATTACAACTGAAAATAATGATTCATAAGTTACTCCAAACATACCTAAGGGTTTTCCAATAAATGAGTTGAATATCAGTTTTCAAATTTAATTAAAATTAAATAAAATGAAAAATTTATTCCTCACTCACACTAGCCATTATTTCTAGTGCTCAATAGCCACATATGGCTAATGGCTACCATGTTAAACAGCACAGTTTATAAAGTTTTGTTGTACATTTTTAACCTATATAATTTATATATAGTTTTTATATGAAAAGTACTTACCTAGTAACCGGAACATATATAAGAACTAGGAAGATGAGGCTGGCTTTAAAACTTCTAACTAATTCAAACAGACAGAAAAACAGTTGTAAAGTCCTCATTGTAAGAATACTTCTAATTAGCATAACATACTACACAAAACATTGTTCCACCTCCTGCCTTGGCAAGTAGCAACTGGGATCTTAAAAGCTAACAAGCTGCCATCTAGATGCAACTATGGGTCTCTCCTCATCCAGAACAAAGAAGAATGAAGAAAACCAAAATTCATGGAAACAATTAGTCCTGGCGACTGGTACACCATCTGATCTGCAGCCTATATGACTATGAGACCAGAAGAACTAGATGGTGCCCGGCTACCACTGTCTTCCACTTGAAAGGAGATCTATGTAGGAGATCCTTGATAGAGACGGAGAACAATGTGGAACAAAACTCAAAATCATTGGAGGAAAAAAAAAAGGGGGGGGACCAGGTTTGCTGGTCCAATAGAGCCGGATGGAACCACTGAGACTATGGCCCCTAGCTGCCCTTCAGGTCTGGAATTGAACCCACACCTGTGGTTTCCAGCCAAACAAAAGACAGGCATATGAGTTGAACATTTACCTCAAGTAGATACACTCCTTGGAGAGAACAATCATGGGAGAAACAAGGGCTGCTTATGCACAGGGAGACAGCTCAGGGGACAGGAGCCCATGGAGGGATGGACACTGGGAATAGGTAATAGTGGGGAGGAAGTGGGAAGGGAGCTGTTGCATTGTGGTAAACTGTGGTCAATATCATGAGACAAAGTGTATATGAACTGCTGTATGGAAAGTGAATTTGCTCTGTAAACCTTCACCCAAATCACAATAAAATCACACACACACAAAAAAAAGAATACTTCAAAGAAGCCCAGTTGAAGGACGATTTTTTCAAGTATAGGAGGCCTTTAGAGTAGAAACATTCTTCAAGGTAGCTTTTTATGTATGTATGTATGTATGTATGGACATAATGTATGTATTTACCTGTTTAACTTTGAGTGCCTATAAGCACACTATTGAGAAAACACTGCTATGTTTGTCCATCTTAACTTGAAAAATTATGGAAGAAATAAGTAGTATAATATAAATTATGTGAGCTTTTAAGTCAGGTATCTGAGGCAAGATAAAAATCACAAAGGACAAAGCAAAGTCCCTTACATTAAGTTTTATGTGGAGAAAGTGCCTTAGGGAAGGTTAATTATTTTCAATGTTTTGAAAATGTTAAGGAACCTTTCTTAGATGTTTGATCCATTTGTTATATTCTAGAGTGTCTGCCAAATTTGACTTGACATACATTTATCTGCATGTAATTTTCTTCTATACCATAGCAAGTATTCCACAGTGCATTAATCAATATATTTAATAATTTTATACTAAATTTTTAGTAAATTGTTGAATTTATAAACATAAATTTATGGTACTATAGATGCTCAAGAGATAATGAAAATGATTAATTTCCAGGGTTTGTATGATGGAATGTTTGTAAACTATTTATCAAATAGTTCTTTAATATGAATTATACCCCCAGAAATTTATGTTTTATGGGTGGCCATATCTGATGAAAACATACCCTTAGCCTAATCTCTAAGGGAATCAGAATAGAGAAGTTGATTAGTAATGATAGACTTTGTTGTCTAATTTATGAAAGAAATTCTATTATCTATGATGATGAAAGACTGTGATGGCACAGGACCAGGCAGTATTTCATTCTGTTGTACATCGCGTTGCTATGAGTCGGAACTGACTTGACAGCACCTAACAACAACGGGATGCTTAAAGCAGCATCAGTCACTTAGTATAATAAAACAAAAGTCACTGTAATAAAAAAATTACTACTGAAGAATCTTGCTTTGAAAATAAATATTCCTTCTTTTCATTAAATTCATATTCCCTAAGTGTTTTCCCAGTTATCTAGCACAGTATTATAAAATTTTTTTTCTTTGTTAGTCTTTCATTTTATGCTTAATTTTTATTAAACATTCTCAAAAAAAGTAAAAAACTAACCACCCGTCAAATTGGTTCTGACTCATAGTGACCTCTGCTTGGGTTTCCAAGGCGGTAGCACTATGGAAGTAGATTGCGCAGTCTTTCCTTCAAGGAGTGGCTGGTGGATTTAAACTGCCAGCCTTCTGGTTAGCAGTCATATGCTTAGTGTATAATTATTCAGGATGTATTTGAGGTGTCATTCATAGAATTATCTCAGGTAAATACCTTCTACTGAATCTCTTATGTCTTCTGTGCTAAATATTTTCACAAATATCTAATAGAAAATTTTCTTTTTCAGGTATTATTCCCCTGGATATTCAGATACACTTCTGCAGAGGGTGGACAGCTATCAACCACTTATTAAATAAGCAACATTATGTTTTTATACTCAAATTCACAGTAGAACTTTTATGAATAACGATTGTTAAAGTTCTTTCTAAATATTTGAGATAAATACATTCTAGATTTATTCAATATGAAATACATTTAAGTAATATTTTCTAAGTTTATAGAATACTTTAAAAATTAGTAACTTCACTATCTGAGAAACTATACATGGCCATTTGCATGCATAGAATTTGCTCTAAAGGTAGATTTTTACAAAACACTAATGATTTTTAAGGGATTTGTTATTGTTCTAGTAAAAAAATCACACATACACACACACACCCTTCAATGAGATGTAGATGAGAAATAGAGTTCAAAAAATCCTTAGTTACTAAGGCCAGTTGCTTCTATGCATAGCAGAATCAGCCTTGTAAATTCCACAGTAGGATATAGAGGGAGATAGTTGAAAGAAGAAACTGATGACAGGGATACAGGGCACATGAAGTAGACTTTGGTGCTGGCTATATAAATGCATGAACCTACACATAGAATCTGTGGGAAAATTGTTTGATTTTCCTAAGAACTTAGGAAGACCTTACTCATTATTACAAGTTTTCTATGCATTCTTCATCTTCCTCTACATTTTCCTTTCTGTTCATGAGACTGGAGAGGGTAGAAGTCAGCATTAAGCATTATATTATTGCACACACGCTTCCCATTTTCATTGAAAGGTTTCTCAGACTGGCTTTGTTCATGAATAAACAAGGAAGCAGCCATTTAAAGTCCTCAGCATTCCCTTGTCCTAGCTTCACTTCCCAAAATTGAAAAGTCATATTCTCAGGGATTTAAGGAAGTAGTTGAAAAGCATTCCATCAGACTCAGACCTTACATGCATGTTCACTTGGGAAACTGGAGGTAGAGGAGAATTTCAATAAAATTTTAAATAAAAACAGCGTTAGAATTGTTCATTTTATTTGCCCTACCGAGTGTGTTTCTGACATTGGAGAATTCATGATAAACTTTGGAGTCTTGATTAGATGGCATGTGTATGTCTTTTGTTCTAAAGGAGCATTACTTCAAGTGTTCTCTGCTGGTGGCCTGAAGAGGAGGTGACTGCATAACCCAGAGCTCCTTTGGCCACAGTGTTTCTAGTCCCTGTTTTCAGGTTTCCTTATTGAACTCACACACTCCCTCCTTCCACTCTCTCTCCCCAATTCGTCCCTACTTCCGTCCCTTTCTCTCTCTCTCTGTCTCCTCTCACTCTCACTCTTTTGTTTTAGTATCCATTTGTTTTAATATTGTCTGGATTCTTCTCCATTATCATTATTTCTCAGCAATGCTTTGCTTTGCTGTATCTTTTAAAATGTCATCACATGTAAGGTTGCCCCCATTTCTTTTTGCCTTGTATCAATCCAAGATTGCTTCTGATTTGTCTTTTCAGTATTTCCTTGGATCATTTTGTTTCCTTGAAGTAATTTATTTGACTTACTACCAAATCAAACCCACTGCTGTTGAGTAAATTCTGACTCATGGCAACTCTATAGGACAAAGTGGAACTGCCCCACGTGGTTTCTGAGGCTGTAAATCTTTATGGAAGCTGACTGGCATATCTTTTTCCCACTGCATGTCTTTTTTCCCACGAAGCTGCTGGTGGGTTGGGTTCAAACTGTCATCCTTTTGGTTAGCAGCCAAGCATTTTAACCACTGTGCCACAGTTTGTTCAGAGAAAATGTAATTTTCACTTCCAGTTTTGTAGCTTTGCTTTCTCCTTCCTGCATGCCCAGCTTGTCTTAGGAATCCTTTAACAATCTGAACAAATAAAGATAGTTTTCATATTACTTCCATTTTTACCTAGATAACATGTCTGTAATGACAGAAATTGCTTTATCTGAGTTAAAACCGCAGAAATTATGGGAATGGTGAATTTATGTATTTTCTTTCCATTGTACTTTGTACTTGAGCTTTTCACTTCACATATCATTTTAGACTTATCCAATCCTCACTCACTGCCGTCAAGTCGTATCCGACTCATCGCAACCCCGCCTTGGGTTTCCGAGGCAGTATCACTAAGGAAGTAGATTGCCCAATCTTCCTTCCCAGGAGTGGCTGGTGGGTTTGAACTGCCAGCCTTCTGGTTAGTAGTCAGATGCCTTAGACATTACGCCACCAGAGCGCCTACTTATCCAATAGTATTAACAAAGTAAAATATTTAATGATGTTAGTATGTTGTTGTAGTTATGTGCTGTCGAGTTGGACCCGACTCATAGCAACCCCTCCTTGGGTTTCAGAGGCAGTATCACTAGGGAAGTAGATCGCTCCATCTTCCTTCAGAGGAGTGGCTGGTGGGTTTGAATCGCCAGCCTTCTGGTTAGCAGTCAAGTGCCTTAGGCACAACGCTACCAGAGCTCCTAATGTTAGTATAGGTGTCGTAATTTGATTGTATGTTATTTGGAAAATTTATGCTAGGAGATGCTTCTTTGCATAAAATATTTAAAGCAAAATGAAGCTTTCCTTGCTTTTGTAAAGTCTGTTGTGAGGTGTTTTTTTTTTTAAAGTCTTCTTTGTGCTAGAGCAAAAATATTATCTGTCTTTGATGGTATTCTCTGATATTTTCATCCTTGGTTTGAATTATGCCAATTCCAATTCTCTGTGCATATCAACACTTACCTGCAGTTTATTTAAAATTCAGCCATGGTTAGTATATCTCATTTAAATTATGTGAACAGCGATTTATTTTTAGGACTTCTGGAATAGAATTGGTTAAACTTTATTATAGATTCAGTTTACCTGTTGTGGAAATAGGTGAATATTAGTAGTGTCTGCAAAGATGCTGAAAACCTGGATTCTAGTCATTAGTGTGTCAAAGAGAAGGGTGATAATACTTGCTTAGTTTATCCATAGGACACTTATAAAAAATAACCTGCAATCATGTATGTAACACTTTTCTAAACTGCTCCAGTCTGTACAAATGTGACATGTTATTTGTGGGCAATCTGATAGTTCTCTGATATAACTGCTATTTTAATGATAAGTTTTACATTTTGAAAAGTTGGTAATTGTGCAGTATCTTCAAGGTCTCATAGTGGAGTTTAGACCAGATGATTTATGGTAAAGAAAAGATACATTTCCTGCCCTCATGGAGTTTTCTAATATAAACACATTAGCCCAGACACAAGGAGTAGAATAGGCACAAGATATTGAACATGAAACAGGCATATTTAACTTAGAATGTAAAAACAAATGACAGTGTCATATATACAGGATATTGACCTGTTTTTCTAACCCTTTCCTCTCAAACTCCCCCTTTAAAGAAAAGATTAAAGGTTTGCTTGTTTTTAAACTTTATTTGAGGTCCTGCTTAACATAAAAAACCCTGACCTTAAATTCCTGGGTGAGGCCATCGCCAATCTAGGATGTCAAGTTTAGAATCTAACCTTGGAAGAATGAAGCATTTTTCTGTTGGGTTTTCAAATAGCCAAACATTTGCTTTAGACAGGTACTGGTAGACATTGAGGCTAATGAACTGTAGCTTCCCTGCCCCCCCCAAAAGTAGTTGTTTAGAAAATGTTGCTTTGCAGCTATTTTGTTTGTTTCGGACATCAAATGGTAGTTTTAACTATAAATATTGCATTTACCAATTGGTTAAGAGACTTTGGACTTTAAAATTTAGATTTGTCCATAGAATTTTCTAGTAATATGAGTTCTTAAATGCTGTTTTGTTTTTAAAATGTCTTGGCAGGCTATAAAATTAGACTGATATCTATTGATACTGCTTTAAAGAATGATAGGTTTTATTGTTTTTGTAAAAATCAATAAATAATCTTTTTTAAAAATTTTAGGCAATACATGAAAGTTGATAAAGAAGATTGCAAAAGCATAACTCCAAATCTTACAATCCAGAAAGTAATTGCCAGAAAAAAAAAGTTAACATAATTCCAAATACTTCTCTGTACAGATAGAAAACATTTTGGAAAACCATACCCTGCATGCTATTTTAAAATAAACAAAAGTTAACAGTTTTCTTATTTCATGGAAGATGAAGCCTTTCCTTTTGTTAATTTCAGCAGGTTTAGAGAAAAGTACATAAAGGTGTCCTCAGTAATAATTTAGAGATAAATATAAAATATTTATAAATGGGCTCCTTTTACTAATGTTTGACATAGTATTTGCAATAATAGATTTCAAACAGTGCTATTTGTGGCTTGTCAGTTTTATAACAATCTTATGATTTGGTATAGATATCTATACATTAAACCCTTTTATTTGTTTCATGTGTATAGAATTTGTAATAATACATGCTTGCTAAAATCTTTACTGTTTCAGATATGTTACTATTAAATGTTTAAGTATTTTTGGATCTAAAGAAGTCCAACTCTTCGAGAGCTATTATGAACTATATTGAGTTCTCCTAAAAAATTTTTGTAGCATGAATGAATAGACTCAGTGGTAGTGGGTGATAGTGGGGGTTGCATGTATAGTTTAAATCATACAAACTTAATTAAAATACCAAAGAAAATATCATTTTTCCATTTTTACTTCACCAACTCAAGTATGATCTTTTTCTTAGATGGACGAAATGTGCCCTGTTCTTTTCTTCAGTCCCTGGTGCCACCCAGCACTGTGGGAGGCTGACTGAGAGGACATCAAGCCTTCTGGCTGACTTAGACTCTGCTCAAGTCTCTTCAGGTCCCAAGGCCCTAGTTCTAAAATCTTACAATGTATGGAAACGCAAAGGATTTCCAGTGGCACAGGGGTTAAAGCATTTGGCTGTGAACCAGAACGTTGTTGTTGTTGTGTGCCGTTGAGTTGGCCCTGACTCATAGTGACCCCTCCTTGGGTAGCTGAAGCAGTATCACTACGGAAGTAGATTGCCCAACCTTTCTTCCAAGGAGTGCTGGTAGGTTTTAACCACCAGCCTTCTGGCCTTCTGGTTAGCAGTCAAGTACCTTAGGCACTATGCTACCAGAGCTCCTAGAACCAGAACATAGGCGGTTTGAGCCCATCAGCCTCTCTGTGGGAGAAAGATGAGGCAGTTTGCTTCGGTGAAGATTTACAGCCTTGGAAACCCTATGGAGCATCTCTACTCTGTCATATGGTTGCTGTGAGTCGGAATCAACTCAATGGCAGTGGGTTTGTTTTTTAGTTTGGTGGAAAAGCATAGGCTGTGGAGTAAAAGAGACACAGTAGAATCTCAAAACTACTATACTCAAGAAGTTATTTAATCTCTATAAGCTTTGATTTCCTTAGCTAAGATAGATAAAATTTAAAAGGCTAATAGCACCTACTTCATTGGATCCTGAAGATTAAACGGGGATGAATAAGCACAGGGCCTACCAGGTGAACAATGCCACAACTCAACTATATGGTATCTTTATATAAATAGGAAATAAATGGCCAGTCCTAAAGGCACTTTATTTCCATCTGGCAGAAATCGTTGTACTATTCTGATTTTTTTTCACATCAAGACACTTTACTGCCATCTGCTGGAAAATTCTCTTAATAAATATGCAAATCCACACTGTCGAAGAAGTGAACCATGCCCCCCTTAGATGTGTTGGTGCCGTTGTGCACTTTACAACTTGCAGAACTGTAGGCATAAATGCTCCATAAGTGATATTTGCTACTATTGTTATTTTCACTTTTGCAAATGTGGTTTGGAAGAGAATTCCAGATAAAAAATGTATGAAGCAATTCATTTCTTAAAATCTCAATAAAAAGAACCAGCATTTTGTTACAAAGCTTGGAAACATTAGTGCTCACTGTTTCCCTCACTTGCCCCACAGAAGAGTATATTCTACAATACAACCTGCAATTTATATTAGCAAAGACACTAATTAAGCCATTACTCTTGCATTTATAAACACTGATGTTAAGACCAAATTATGGGACATTTTATGTATGCAAAAAAAAGCAAAGCACATTTTGGAATAACCCATATAGACTTTCAATTTTGA